CCTACCAAAACACTTGAATACAGACATACTGTCAGTATGGAAATGCTTCTGTGCAGGTGTTAATCAAGTTAAATCCCAACAGCCAATCAGCAAGAAGTATAGAGGAAAGCTGCATGCCTATTGGTTGATGCCCTGCATTCCATTGTCATGACTCATGCCCAAACGTGGTAAACAAGGCAGACTAACACAGTAATACATTTGCTATAACACAGCCAAAAAACTCAAATAAAACCATTCTAAAAGCCTGTATTACAATAATTTAAAAAATGCCTAGGGGTATTTGCCCACTGTACCTCCATACCAAATTTCAGGACCTTAGGCCCTAAAATGAAGAAGCTGAATCCATTTAAAGATATGGCAGGAGGAGGAGGAGAAGGAGGAGAAGGAGGAGGAGAAGAAACATCAGAAAAAGCAATATGGTTTCACCACACCACTTCGTGGTGTGGTGAACCCATAATGATACCAATGTCGTAGAATGCCAAAATCAAAGGAAAAAAGACAAAAATGTAAAGAAATGAATTCGAGGAGTAGATTATTCGCCATAACATATTCTGTGCCATTTGATCAACCTTCATGACCACGTAGATTTCATAGTGAAAGCAACTTTTTTTTTTTGCAAAACTTTTTTTTTTATTCGCACGCGCGCATCAGTTTTGGGGTTCCCAGAGGATGTCATCCATATAATCAAATCAACATGGCCTTATGAGAATAAGCTTAAGCTTACTTAGGCCACAGCAAGTACTTCTTATGGATGACATCGACGCGCGCATTGATTTTCGGCTGATTTTGGGGAAAAAAACAAGAAATTTTGTTGCCTTCTGACAGTGGTCAACATGCCGAAAATGGACAAAGAAGTCTGCTGCGATGCCGGAAGGTGGATGGCAGATGAGCGGAGACAAGAAAAGGCTCTGATTTAATGTTTTGTTTCTTACTTTGATGCAGTGATATGTGATGCTGGCTGTGTATATGTGATGTTCCCACTGAATAAAAACCATTTGTACAATGATTGAGTCAAAATTTTAAAATGTAGGAACCTTGTTTTTTTCGGCCCGCCTTGTTTTTTTTCGCCCGCTCGCATTAGATTTGGAGTCTGTGGAGGATGTCATCCATAAAATTTACTTGCTGTGGCCTTAGGAGAGAAACACAACCCAGTAGCACGACAGACACGAACTTGGCGTGAAGATTTATATTGGATAAAACATTATCACATATCTCTATTTACAGTACATATACACACATATATATATATACACTTAATCAGGTCTTTTTTTTTACCATTCATATGTATGCACACATATATACATATAAAATCGTCAGTTGTGACGTATTTGAACAGAGGACTTTTAATGCTACGTATTCTACAATGCTACGTATGTAGCAAAGTCCAGTCAAAGTACATAGAGTATAAAACTGTTCAGGAACGTTTGCATAAGCATAATTCTTGTCAGCTACATACAACTGTGCTTACGTTTTCTTTCAAAGCCGATATAAGGTATTTTCTTGTGCCGTTATCAACATATGTCGGTTGTTGGAGAGCATACACCACAATTGGTAACACAACGCCAACGGTGCAATGCTAAACGCTGGCAACTAGAAAACATGTCACTTCTACAGAAATGATTAAATTGCGTCCCTTCGCTGCGCAGTTGTGTTAAGGTCTTTGCGACCTTGCAATTTTTAAAGTTTTTTTTTTCATTTTATATGAGCCCCAGGTAGAAGAAAAATGAAAGCGATGCATACTTGAAACATTTCTTTCTACCTTAGATTTTTTCTGTGTGAATGGAGCACGTGTGACGTGAGTGTGAAGCATGTGTAAAGCATGTTTGCCACAACTCATTCTATTCAAAACATAAAACGTGAGTTCATGTAATATTTTTTGCCACGCCGAGAATCTTTTTAAGTCGACAAATCATTCACTCGTGTCGCTCTCTTCTCCCGATAGCCTCGATCGGATCGAATCCTTGACCCTTGTGAAGCTCCCTTTGATTTTGCCGACTAGTTTGGTGGGGGTTAGCCTGCCGCCAGACTTCTGAGAGGTACTTGGCTCTTTCTCTTTTGATTTCATGGTGGCTAGCGTAGGCACTGGCTTGTGCCCATAGCGCGTCAGGCCCTTTTTCTTTTCCTTCTCCCTCTGCATTTCAGGAGGAAGCGGCGGGCCATAGACCGGTTTTCCGTTCGGGGGGTCCGATTTGTGCTCGACTGTGTCTACCTTCTTTGCGGCCTGCTGCTTCATCGCCATCTCTCTGGCCTCCCTGTCTATCTTCTGCTCCCTTTCTTTCCTTGACTGGAACATGCGAGCGAATTTTGAGGGTTTCTTCGCGGTTGGCGAAGCTCCCTGTACCTTTTTCTCGTCTACGGGAGACTCTTCGTCGACCGTTTCCAGTTGCCCCGTTTCCAGTTGCTCCATGCTGGCCTTTACCATAGAGTAGGCCTTTTTCTCCATGGCCATCCAGTACTCGTCGTCATGCAGGTCCTCCTTTGAGATGGGCTTGTCCAAGTCTATCTCGTCTTCACTGTCTTCTGACGAGTCGAAG